GGCCTAACAAAAGTCATGAACAATTTCTTTAGTATATCGCCATCCATGTATTTAAATGCAATTCTGAAGTTAGAAAGCATAGCATAGGCTCCTTGCACAATATTCTTTATGTGGTCCTCAGGTGATAGTTTTCTATCTAGAACCACCCCTAGATCTCTTTCTTTATCAGAATTCTTTAAAGATTTCTCACATAATATATAGGTTGTGTGGGGTCTATGTTCTCCTATTCCACATTCCATAACATGACATTTATTAACATTAAATTCCATTTGCCAAGTGGTGCTCCATCTACTTATTTTGTCCAGGTCTTCTTGAAGGGCATGACAATCATCTAAATTTCTTATCCTTCCTATTATCTTAGCATCATCAGCAAACATGTTCATATAATTCTGTATACCAACTGGTAGATCATTTATGTACACAATAAACATCACTGGTGCAAGAACTGAACCCTGTGGTACTCCACTTGTGACATTTCTCCATTCCGATATATTGCCTCTGATTACTGCCCTCATTTTTCTATCAGTCAGAAAATTTTTCATCCATGATAGAAGCTTACCTGTCACCCCTCCAATATTTTCCAGTTTCCAGAACAACCTCTTATGTGGAACTCTGTCGAAAGCCTTTTTTAGGTCCAGATAGATGCAGTCAACCCAACCATCTCTTTCCTGTAATATCTCTGTGGCTCGATCATAGAAACTGAGTAAATTCGATACACAGGATCTTCCAGATTGAAAACCATACTGTCTGTCTGATATTTTATCATTTCTCTCTAGGTGTTCTACCCATTTAGTTTTGATTAGTTTTTCCAATACTTTCACTATTACACTTGTCAATGATACAGGTCTATAATTGAGGGGGTCTTCCCTGCTGCCACTTTTGTAGATTGGAACTATGTTAGCCTGTTTCCACACGTCTGCTACGATTTCTATACACAGGGATGCCTGAAAGATCAGGTGAAGTGGAATGCTGAGCTCAGATGCACATTCTCTCAGAACCCAAGGTGAAACGCCATCTGGGCTAGCTGCTTTGTTCTTACCAAGCTCCTTGAGCATTCTTTCCACTTCGTCTCTAGACACCTCTATGTGCTCTATGTTGTTCTCTGGAATTCTTATTGTATCTGGTTCCCTAAAGATTTCATTTTGTACAAACACACTTTGGAACTTTTCGTTTAGTGTTTCACACATTTCCTTTTCATTTTCCGTGAATCTATTTCCCATTTTCAACCTCTGAATATTATCCTTTACCTGCAATTTGTTGTTTATGAATTTATAGAATAGACCTGATTCTGTTTTACATTTGTCTGCAATCCCTTTTTCAAAATTTCTTTCTGCCTCTCTCCTCACTGTCGTGTAGTTTTTTCTCGCATCTTTGTATCGCTGGTATGTTTGGGGGTTCGGCCTCTTCCTGTATTGATTCCATTTTTGTGTCTTTTGGTCTCTAGCCCTCTCGCAATTTCTATTGAACCAATCCTGTTTCCTAGTTCTGCATCTCTGTTTTGGTATAAATTTTTTTGTGCCTTTATCATATATTTCACAAAACTTGACATACATTTCATTCACTTCCTTGCCTAGCATCAAGTCTGTCCAATTATACTCACTAAAAAAATTTCTAAGGTCACCATAATGTCCTCTCCTGAAGTCTGGTTTTTCAAATGCTTCAACCTCCTTATTTTCTTCCAGCTTATAACGCATTGCATACTTTATTTCCAAAAAGACATGTCACTTTTACCCAAGGGAGGAAGGTACTGAATGTCAAATATCTCTTCCTCCTTCCTGGTAAATATCAAATCTACCATGGAGGGAATGTCCCCTTCCCTCATCCTCGTAGCTTGTTTAACATGTTGATACAAGAATGTTTCCAGGATGAGGTCTACAAATTTACAGGTTCAAAAATCTTCTGTTTTAGCTTCATATGCTTCCCAGTCTATGGATTTCAAGTTAAAGTCACCAACTATCAACAGTCGTGATCTATCGTTATCCGCTCTCGCTATAATCTCTCTCATTATTGTTATAAGACCTTCACGTTTACTATCTAGCTCCTCCTTTGACCATGTGCTGCTTGGCGGTGGACTATATGCATTTATTATCATTAGTTTATCATCCTCATGGCAGATCTCTAGTGCTATTATGTCAACTTCTTGTGGATTGGCAGTCATTATTTCGTTCACCTTTAGGTGTTCTTTTACCAGCACAGCAACGCCACCGCCTTTCCTAATTTTTCTGTCCCGTCTCCAAATTGAGTAGCTCCTTGGGAATATGACCTCATTTAAAATTACATCTTCAAGTTTTGTCTCCGTGAGTGCAACAATGTCTGGTGTCTGCAGCTGTGTTACATCACTTAACTCCAGTATCTTCGATCTCACTCCATCTATGTTGGTGTATGCAATCTTCAGGAACTTGTTCCCCCTCTCCTTATTCTTCACTCCCCCTCTCTCTATTGATTTTGTTGGTTTGCCTTTATGTACCACTTTACTGGTCTGCCTATCCCTATCACTTTGTAGAAAAAAGAATTTATTTCTTCTTCATTCCTGCTCTCATTTAAATGTTTTGCCTCGGCGAGGTTCAGTTTCAGCTTCCCTGTCTTCTTTTGAAAGATCTCATCTTAACGACCACTCTTTCCCATCCTCATCACTTTGTGATTTTCTAGCATTCCTTAGTACTTATTCCATCTGTTTGGCACCGTTTAGGGTGATCCTCAAAGGCCGATCTTACCCTTTTACGTATCTGCCTATTCTCCTGTAGTCGCACACATTCTCTTTGGTTGTAAGACCTTCCACGAGGCTAACAATTTTATCTACTACTTTAGCTTCTTCTACAGCTCTTTCTGACCTAGATGTTATCGCCTTTTCTTTGCAGCCAAAAATGATCAGGGACTTACTCCGATCAACTGTGTTTTGCACCAACTTCGGGTTAGATGCCAATTCCTTTCTCACTTCCAGCCTAATGTTTGTTTTATCTTGGTTGCTGCAGTGTTTGACTTCCTTTACTGCTTCTTCTATTTTTTCCTTTTCCTTGGCCACTTGGCATAGGTGAGTTGCATATCTTTTGTTGCACTGTTCTATTCCCTGTGTAACTTCCTCCATCTGTACTGACAAAAGCTGTTTCTCCTGTTGAATTTCCTTACCTAACCTATTGTAGTCATTTATGTTTAAATTTACTTTAACTTCTTCCAAAGCTATTTTTAAGAGTCTATTTTCTTCTTCCATGGCTTTGCAATTTGTTTCCAATTGATTCTTATCCTTGCACAAGTCTTTCACTAAACCCTCAAGACATAAAACTTTGCTATTCAAATGGTCATTACTTTCTTTCAATTTACTAATTATTTCTACATGAGAGTTCACTATAGTATCTAATTTTACCAACTTGTTATGTAGACTGCTTATATCAATGCTTTCTTCATTGAATCACGCAAAATCAAGCTGTTTTGTTTTTCCCCTTGCCAGTGGCCATCTTGAATGTTCTTCTCTGCACTGTAAACACTAGGGCAACTTTTTCTCATCCGATTTTTCACTTCCCTTAGCACATTCCTGTTATCTCACCTATTTTTCAAGAGCACTATACCTTTATGTTCTCTGGGACACCACTCACTACCATCAACCTGTACTACAATACTTAGGATTGTTGAAATATGCTGGAGCTCCTCTGCTGCAAGTGTTGACCCTAGGGGTGTCACCTTTTGAATCCCCAAAGTGTTGGACAAACTGGGCTGTAGTGAACATGTGGGCCTGCAGGCCACGCTCCAAGCAACAGCCTGTTGGACCAAGCTCTCACTTCTTCTGGGAAGAATAACAGCTCCCAGAATTTCATCCAGGCATTCTGCTCATGCATGCTAGGAGGGGGGGGGGAGGGGTTTCATAGCCAGATTCAAGTGAACTATTTTGGTTTGAGCAATTCTTTCGTGGCAGCTGTTGGCCATTTTGATGCTTTGTTTTCATGAACTATGCAGTCTTGTCTGCTCTCTGGTTGCTATCCTGGCGAGGGTGATCATAATGATCCTCTGTTCCCTGCACCTCTGTGAAGAGGCCAGGTTCTGACTGGTCTGGTCGAGGACCGGGCCATGGGGCCGTTGAGCCCCGAAATCATGACAAGGTAGTCCCTGTTCAGCCAACGTAACTCCTATGACTGATGGGACAGTGTATGGGAAGCTAATCTCAGCAATAAATAGCTTCAAGGAGCCATCAGTGGGCTCGCCAAGAAAATAATCACGACATTCTTATCCTCAATTTTTTAGTTACTCCGAAGCCACAAGAATTGCAATAGATGTCCAAGGCACATCTGTGATGTGTTTTATTGCTTGATGTGTGGTCTGTGGTCTGCCAAGTAGTGTTCATATCCCATTTGATAACTGCTTGTACTTAAAATAAACGAGCAACTGAAATGCATCTAAGCCTATTTGACATTTAAAACAATTTTTATTAAGTATTTTTTTACAATAATTTTTTTTTAATTTTTTAATAACATGAATCCTGTAATGCAGTTTTCTTAATATAAAGAATCAAATATGCCAGCATGAGCTTGCTTAATATTATTTTACACATTTTTACACATAGTCAAACCCAAAGAAAACAAGGTTGTTAAAAAATTAATCAAAATACTAAATTTACAAGACTTGAAATTGCAAAAAAAGCTAGTCTTTATTAGACAACAAGCAAGGTATTTCAGCAGAAAAATTAAAATGCTTGCTTAAAGGTAGTTAGCACCTTTCATATACATTTTCAATATCTATAATAAAATAATAATGTGTTTAAGAAATACACTTGTAATACTAAATAGTTGAGGGATTAAAACTGAGGCCTAACTAAGGTGGATTGAATTGCAAGAAATGTTTACGATTGCAGAGTCCTCTAACATACTATCAATGGAATGAATGGAATACTATCAAAATGAAATTACTATAGCATGAAAATACAGAGCTTGGTTAAATCGGTTTTATACAATGCTAAAGTAACATCTGGTCAACCTATTCAGTATTTGAGTATCATCCTTATTGCAACATACCTTGGCATCATGAGCCCTCATATCCAACAAAGGATCGCCCGATGGTCGCCATGCCTTAACATTCTTAGGCCCAGAATGGTTCTTGACAAGTAAACTAAGCTCTTCCAAAGGCTTGGCAACATCTTCTTCAATGATGGCAATTAGGTCTTCAAATAATGCGGTGTGCACCGCTGCAACAACAGAGGCTCGTAGAGCCTCCAAAACAGCTTCATTTTCTTTTGCAAGTGTTGGGAAGCACCTGAAGATATATAATGAATGTTTATTACGGTATTAAAGAAAGCTATCAGTGCACTCGCCCTTAAATTACACTTGCCAAATTTCACATAAAATTAATACAACATATGCTTTAGGGGGCAGAATCCGAAAAATATTAGTTCAAAATCAAAATATATTGACAAATGCTAGATAAATCTCCCGTTATTTGGCATGAACGTTGAGAAAAATTTAATTCCAATATGTTAAGAAATAGATTTTATATGATTTTTTTTTTAAATAGTAAATTCATACGCGGTGGGGCACAACCGGTACTGATGATAACGATAATGCTTCCTATTTACTGGAACTCAGGGATAATGTAGGGATAAAGAGAGGCAAGCACCTGTCCGATGAACAAATGAACAAAGAAGAAGAATAGTAGTAAGGGGGGCCTCGTAGCCTGGTGGATAGCGCGCAGGACTCGTAATAGCCTCGTGCGGGTTCGATTCCCGCACGAGGCAGAAACAAATGGGCAAAGTTTCTATCACCCTGAATGCCCCTGTTACCTAGCAGTAAATAGGTACCTGGGAGTTAGTCAGCTGTCACGGGCTGCTTCCTGGGGGTGGAGGCCTGGTCGAGGACCGGGCCGCGGGGACACTAAAGCCCCGAAATCATCTCAAGATAACCTCAAGAAAAAGAAGGAAGGTCCACAAAGTGGATATGCAGCTGGTGCCTTTTAGCATTGCTGAGTGCCACCTGGAGAGCCAAATTTCACACATGTAGTAATAATGAGCATATATGTTATTTTGCTATATTTTATTATTATATAATATAAATACGCTGCCCAATGCCAATATTTCTTATGTCCCTTTGTACGAGAAGCTTTTTTTCTCTAGTTTGTTTCTCAGCTGATTTTGTTGTGGCTTCTACATCTTGGAGAATGCATACCCGTCACTAGGGATGTGAAGTTGGAACGAAATTGGTCAACATGTGAATCAGCCATAGGTTATCTTGAGATGATTTCGGGGCTTTAGTGTCCCCGCGGCCCGGTCCTCGACCAGGCCTCCACCCCAGGAAGCAACCCGTGACAGCTGACTAACACCCAGGTACCTATTTACTGCTAGGTAACAGGGGCATAGGGTGAAAGAAACTCTGCCCATTGTTTCTCGCCGGCGCCTGGGATCGAACCCGGCACCACAGGATCACAAGTCCAGCGTGCTGTCCGCTCGGCTGACCGGCTCCCCGCAGATGTAGGTGGCAGAACTTGTGACTTTGTTTTTTATGCAAGTTATTTACTATTTCAAACTCTATTCTCTTTGTCTCTTTAGGTTGTTTTGCTGAATGGGAACCAGATGAGGGCCCTTATCATGCATATACAGGCAATAAAGTGAATGAAATAAAGTTTTTTTTTGGGGGGGGAGGGGGAATTTTCTCTTGACTTCATTTCAATTCATATTGATCTACATCTTTCACATATTCGAGTATGTGTGCCAAGCAATGTTTATCAAAACCTAAAGAAAGATTCATACATTTGAACGACGATATTCTTTGTTGAGAACTTCATCTTAATTTTTCTCCATGAACAAGATTTTCAACTTTGAGACAGCACTACAACATTAGTTTCTGATCGATTCTCACCATTTTCACATATGTGCAAAGTTCTTTGTTCTAAAGATTTTTTTTTTTTTTTTTTACATAAACCCAAAAATTTTGGGGTTATAACTTGTGCGTCTAAATTTGGCGCATATTTGGAAGGCCTTATTGACAATTTTTTTTACAGTAAACTATACACCCAAACTTAAATAAAACCAAAGATTATGATCATCGAATACCATTCTTAGACCATAATAAATACAAGACAAATTGGTGAAATTATACTTTTTTAATGCTAATTTGAAAATTGAAAAATAACAATTTTTTTTTTGATGTTTCGATGTTGATCTATAGGTGCACTAATAGGTGTTGATCTATAGGTGCACTAATAGGTGTTGATCTATAGGTGCACTAATAGGTGTTGATCTATAGGTGCACTAATAGGTGTTGATCTATAGGTGCACTAATAGTTGTTGATCTATAGGTGCACTAATAGGTGTTGATCTATAGGTGCACTAATAGGTGTTGATCTATAGGTGCACTAATAGTTGTTGATCTATAGGTGCACTAATAGTTGTTGATCTATAGGTGCACTAATAGGTGTTGATCTATAGGTGCACTAATAGGTGTTGATCTATAGGTGCACTAATAGGTGTTGATCTATAGGTGCACTAATAGTTGTTGATCTATAGGTGCACTAATAGGTGTTGATCTATAGGTGCACTAATAGTTGTTGATCTATAGGTGCACTAATAGTTGTTGATCTATAGGTGCACTAATAGGTGTTGATCTATAGGTGCACTAATAGGTGTTGATCTATAGGTGCACTAATAGGTGTTGATCTATAGGTGCACTAATAGTTGTTGCATTTACCATTTAGATTATGAAAAAAAATATCCAAGAGTTTGAGCAAGTTTGTGAAAATCGGATTCCGCCCCTTAAATAAACACTAAATTATCGTTTAAATTAATTTACAGTCCCTGATCAAATAATGCAAGCTTATTATTACATGTATGTTACTTTTGCTCAGATTAAAAAAAAAGTAGCTCACAAAATTTGCATAAATTTTGCAGAGAAAAAAAACCACAAGTCATGTAATATCTGCTTAACCTTAAAATTGTTATTTTCTTATTATAGTACTGCACTAAAAACAGAACCACTCACTATTTTTGTAGTTCAAGGAAATATCAAATGTGTGGAGGGTTATATTTAATTCAACATATGGATATTGCTACAGTATTTAAATTCTGAGAAGTGGTTATATTCCCACATGATCACAGCAGCCTGCACTAGGATCACAGAACACTGAATTAAACATACTGCCTATGAACAAATCCACAAGGGCCGTGACGAGGATTCGAACCTGCGTCCGAGAGCATCCCAGACGCTGCCTTAATCAACTGAGCTACCACATGGTCAAAAGGAGTTGAAACCAAAGTTCTACTGAACTTACTGCATCCTGCAGCCTCTGCGAGGCACAAACCAGGGTTTTATGTATATATACTGCCTATATACATACAATACTTAAGCATACGATAAGTCACAATAATGTAGCTGAAGATATGATGAAGAGATGATTATGTTTCGGGCTGTTCAGGACCATTATCAAGTTGTGAGACTTGATAATGGTCCAGGATGGACTGAAACATCATCGTTTCTCCACTTTCTGATATGTGGTTTGGTCATTTTACAATACTTAAACTATTGTATTGAGATTATCTATAGTCTAGGGGCTAAATGCACAGTACAGCAGTGTTCCATTACTTTAGTGATGTAAGACTGCCTCTTCTTTTTAAAGCAAACCTCATGGCTCGCAATATTGTATGGCCATGAACCCTTTAGTTTAGCTAGTTTAGTTCATTTATTATGCACCCCATAACCATCCTGTGGGCAGTAGTGGAAATTGTTACAGGGCTCAGGGGACTGAACCCCCACCAATTCATTTAGCTAAGCAAATTTCAGTCTTGATGAGCTAGTTATAAAATTTAATGCACATCGTCATATCAAAAATAGCCTTGAGACCGACCACAAGTATAGTTCCTAAATTAAGCAACTGACATAAGTGGGGAGCACAATTGCTTCCAAGGGGTTGTCATAGCCTGGGGATGGTAATGGGGGACGAGCTTCTGGCAGCTCCTACGACGTTGCTGGAACCATGTGTATTGGCATTTGCCTTTCTATTGGATAATTTCAGCAACGTGGAGAGGGGGGACCTGCTGCATGGGTAACAGCTTCTCCATATCTACCTACCTAGGCTTTGCGCCCTGTCAGGGCGCAACTCCATAGTCTTAGACTGAAGGGTGCCTACTACTAGTGTCACAATTAATGTTTATCCTGCACACTGCCATCCATCCAGTGGGCAGCGGTGAAAAGGTTACAATTACCCAGTTACTACGTACAGTTAGCAAACTGGGGATATTTGGCTAAAATTTCTGGTAGTAGATTATTTTGAATTAAATATTTACACACATCTCTTGAGCATATGTTATAGAATTGTCTCTGAATTCACATACCTTTTTGCACTTCATTACATAATGATGGAGGGTGTGCAAATAATTTTGTTGACACAGTTTACATTTGGTTAGGGCTGGTCAATCCATCCTCCTGTTTAGATAGTTTTTGTAACCACATGCACCATAGTACAAAGATTGCTGTACTAAGCAATTAGATAGTAGAATGTTGTACTATTCACTTTATAGAGTTGGAAAAAATTAAGCTAAAAAACAAGCTTAAATATTCCTAGGCCTAGTATAGCACACATGTAGAGTACTATATTAGGACTTGGATATCATGAATTATGCCTAGGAAGGTTAGGTTAGTTTAGTTCACTTTGCAACAAATAGAAAATCTTTTCCGGATAGTCCAAATTCAATAGTACCGATTTTGACTTTCTAATTGCGTTGTATGTCAGTATATGTACTGTGGTCCTCATCGTTACTATAAGCACTACCAGAACAGGAGGCTGGGCTGCAGCAGCTAACGAAAATTACCAGAAATGCCCAGTACTTATATCCGAGTCTAAGCCGAGCAGTAATAACTTTGAGGAGTTTGCTGATTTTATTGGATGATCCATAAATGTGTATTCACATAGTTGTATTCACCTTATTTCAACAATCCTAAGTATTGAAGTACAGGATGATGATAGTGAGTGGTGTCCCAGAGAACATAAAGGTATAGTGCTTTTGAAAAATAGGTGAGATAACAGGAATGTGCCAAGGGAAGTGAAAAATTGGATGAGAAAAAGGTGCCCTAGTGTTTACAGTGCAGAGAAGAACATTCAAGATGGCCACCGGCAAGAGGAAAAACAAAACAGAGCTCGATTTTGCTGGATTCAATGAAGAAAGCATTGATATAAGCAGTCTACACAACAAGTTGGTAAAATTAGATACTATAGTGAACTTTCATGTTGAAATAATTAGTAAATTGAAAGAAAGTAATGACCATTTGAAT